CCTTGGCTGGCATTGTGCAAACACAGAACTGGAAGAGGAGGAGGTGGGGGTAGGATGTTGAAGCATAAAAGGCTCAGCAGGAGTCACCACAGCACGGACCTTCCAGAGATCTGCAAGAGACGCCCAAGATGAGGTGAGTCTCCAGTGCACATCTCACGTTTTGGGTACTTAGTGCAGAAGTCTATGGGAGAGGTGCAAAATGGAAAGGGGCCAATGTGTTAAAGTTCTAGGTGAGCCAAGCCTTCAGGTCACAGGCTGCTGTGGATGGCTGTGAACATAGCTCAAAACAAAACTGTAAACTTACTTATAGCATTATGAGATTTCCTTCCTTCCTTTCTTCCTCTCTTTTTTTTTCCAACTTGATTGTGCAGTTTGAGTTGTGAATTTTGTAGGTGACAATGTTATGTTGAAATGTCAAAAGCAGGATGTGCCTGGAACCTCAGTGAGTGAAGGGCCAGTGACTAAACCCCTTCCTCCTGCACCCATAAGAGATGGACTTTCAGTTGGGCTGTCTATCTCTAAGGAGGACCTTTCCTCCTAAGATTATAAAGGTTTTGTCTTGATCAGGCATGAAACGGCCTCCTGGAATATTGACTGTGCCTATTAACATACCTACTTTTAATGAAAGAAAGACAATAGTCACACATTTTTAGTGACACAATAAAGGCACCCTGATTTTTATCAAAATAGAAAAACTTTGAAGGTTAAGAAAAGACTGGAAGTGGAATATCACCAAGAATTTCCTGACTGGCCAGCATCTGCTGGGATTTGCTTATCTTTTCTGTATAGTCTGCACACCTATGATGGTCACAGTCATGCCTTTAGGAAGCCAGGTTTCTCCAGGTAACCATCTGGCATTCTTGGTCTGATATAGCATGCTTTAAAGGCAAATACTCACAAAGTAATAGGAACTTATGAGTTCCTATAGGAATATATGAGTTAGGGCTGATGATGCACCCAGAAGCTGAGGTAGGCTGAGCCTGGGAGTTCAGAAGTTTGTGACAAGCCTGGGCAATGAGTGAGACTGTGTCTTAAGAACAATGATAACTATGACAAATTATACATTTAAACAACCTTTTCATTATGGGAAATTTCAAAAAGTAGTAAGACTGGCAAACTAAATCACAGCTGCCATCTTTAAGCGAGCTAACAGTGTCTTCGTAGCCCAGTCCTTCATGGATGGATGACATGGACCATCACTAGAGAAGAGGCTCACAGCTCTGTGCTTCCTCTCCACTCTACTCTCTTCTTGCCCCACCTTCCCCAGCTGTTTTGAGACAGGCACTTGGGATGTAGCATAGGCTGTTCTCAAACCACTGATCCTTCGGCCTCCACCTCAGAGTTTGGAGAGTTGGGATGGCATCTATGCTACCACACTGGTGGTCTGGTGGTGCCTTCCTGCCTCTGTTTTGGTGGTCCCTTTCTGAAGCTTGTACAGAATTCCCAGTGACACAGAGCTTGCCTGGAATTTGCTGAACCCAAGGGGGTAGGGGTGGTGGGGGATAGATGAAGCTCCTTTCTTTACTGACTAATGGAAAGTGTGTGTGTGTGTGTGTGTGTGTGTGTGTGTGTGTGTGTGAGTGTGTGTGAGATGCATGCACACACGTGTGCAAGGAGACCAACTTTACCCTCCTTCTTGCCACCTCTCTTCAGAGCCCTGGGAACTGTTGTCGCTCTCCTGCTCTGGGGACAGCTTTTTGCTGTAGACTTGAGCAATGATGCCATGGATACTGCAGGTGAGTCTCTGGGCTTTCCCAGGAACTGTGCAGCCCAGCTCAGCTGTGCCCTGGTCTGGCCCTATCAAAGCTGCACTGTGTTAGGGAAGATCCAGTTCGTCTTCCTGTCTTCTTATTCCATACATCTTTGGGGCCTCCCTTCCTCAGCTTCCACTCGGGGGTGAAAGGGAGTCTGGTGTGCAGGACAGCTCCCTCTTGGCTGGCTTTTTGTAGGGAGTCATCTGGGCATCCACACCCTTTATTAGCTTCTTTTCCTTGGCAGATGACAGCTGCCCAAAGCCACCAGAGATTGAAAATGGCTACGTGGAGCACTTGGTTCGCTATCGCTGCCGCCAATACTACAGACTACGGACTGAAGGCAACGGTAAGGCCTGGATGAGCACCCCTCCCTGCATACCTGGCCCTGTTTGGTATTCCCATGATGGATCGATTAGGACTGTCTGGAGCCAGGAGAGTTAGATTTAAATAAAGTTTCTGTCTCCTGTTGGTGATCCTTCCATCAAACTGAGTTGTCTCATCTTCCTGTTCTGTTTTGTTAAGGGGCAGCAATTCCATGGCCCCTGTTGCCCAGCAGTGCTGTCTTCACCTATGACATTGGGCAGCCTCACTATATTCTTGAGAGTTTCTAAGAACTTCACTGCGTCACTCTTTGTTTCAATTTTCTGCCGAGAAAACTAAGGCACAGAGAGGGGCAGAGTCAGTGTGTGAATCCTGACTTCTTCCTGTCTCACACTACCATATGTCATGACTAACTCCTGTTCTGCCAGGCACAATGTGACCTGAGGCACGGTACTCCGGCCTTCTTCCCCTCCCTGTCCTCCAACTTTAACCCTTCTTGTTAGAAGTCTCCTCATGCCACACTGGGGCCAGATTGGCTTTCTCTGAGCTCATCTCCTCCTTTTGTTTCAGGAGTGTATACCTTAAACAGTGAGAAGCAGTGGGTGAACACAGCTACTGGAGAGAGACTCCCTGAATGTGAGGCAGGTGGGTGCCGTTTGCTTATTGTTGGGTGTAGAAGCAGCAGTGGCTGATGCTTCCAGGGCCTCCGCAGGTGGGGCCTGCTCTGAACTTCTGCTCACATCCCTCCCTCCCTTTGCAGTGTGTGGGAAGCCAAAGCATCCTGTGGACCAGGTGCAGCGCATCATAGGTGGTTTTATGGATGCCAAAGGCAGCTTTCCTTGGCAGGCCAAGATGGTCTCCCGGCACAAACTCATCACAGGGGCCACACTGATCAGTGACCAGTGGCTGCTGACCACGGCCAAAAACCTCTATCTGAATCACAGTGAGAATGCGAAGGCCAAGGACATTGCCCCTACCTTAAAACTCTACGTGGGAAAAATGCAGCCGGTGGAGATAGAGAAGGTGGTTATCCACCCCAACCGCTCTGTGGTGGACATTGGGCTAATCAAGCTCAAGCAGAAGGTGCTTGTCAATGAGACAGTGATGCCCATCTGCTTGCCTTCCAAAGACTACGTAGCACCTGGCCGTATGGGCTATGTGTCTGGCTGGGGGCGGAATGCCAACTTTAGATTTACTGATCGTCTCAAATATGTCATGCTGCCTGTGGCTGACCAGGACAGCTGTGTGCTTCACTATGAGGGCAGCACAGTGCCCGAGAAGAAGACTCCCAAGAGTCCTGTTGGGGTACAGCCCATCTTGAATGAGCATACCTTCTGTGCTGGCCTGACCAAGTATGAGGAAGACACCTGCTATGGAGATGCTGGCAGTGCCTTTGCCATTCACGACATGGAGCAGGACACTTGGTATGCAGCTGGGATCCTGAGCTTTGATAAGAGCTGTTCTGTAGCTGAGTATGGTGTGTACATGAAGGTGAACTCCTTCTTGGACTGGATTCAGGAAACCATGGCCAAGAACTAGTGCAATGCTGACTAGAAGGCTTTGCACAGTCAGACAGGCTGAGAGCACTGTTCACCATGGAAGAGGGGGGAGGTGGAAGGACAGGACACGATCTGATGGTGCTAGCCCTGCACTGCTCAGTCAGTAATAAAGAACTTGATTCTTATCCATTTGCAGTCCCTGTAGTCTATTCTCCTTTACAGTACAGGGCAGCCAAGAAGCATGGTGGGCCAGAAAAATCGGGACCTCCCACTATTCCAAGGTGCCAGGAAATCCCTAGGGTACTGTAGACTTTCTGCCTTGGGGAGTCATGTTTATGATATCCAGGTCTCAGGGAGATTACTGTGACCCTTGCTTTTTAGTCAAGGGAAAAGACTTGGAGAAGCGAAGTGCTTTGGTTACGGTCACTCAGCTACTTAACCGGGCTGAACTTGATCTTGGGTCTGCTTGAATGCAAACTCTGAGCTCATCTAGCATATCCGGTCACCTCTCTGAAGTGGGTGAGGGAAGCCCCGACCGAGCCTTTTGTTTGTGCTTCCATCTGCCAGTGCCCCAGAAACCAAAACAGGCACAAGCAGGCAGGCTATGGATTTAATGGGTCCTCACCACAGCTCAGCCCACAGATTTGCCCAGTGACGTAAGCTCCTGGTTGTTACTTGCCCCCAGATCTTTTCCATTAGGGATGAACATTAGTAACTCTCTAGAGTCCCCTGGCTGGAATGCTCTGGACTTGGCTGAGTTGGGGTCTCTTCCTCAATGGCTCCTCTTCACAGTGGAGAAACTCACCCTGCATTGGGGTTTGGAGACAAGCCACATGGCCTTCAATATCAGAGACAAAGGGGTCTAGGGAGACCCATCAAGAAGCTCTTCTCTCTGAGCACTTCCTTGCCCCAAGCCTTCAGTTCAGTCCTCTTGTCTACCTTCTCATTATGCCAACCTCGGCCTCTCTTTATGGCACATGAGGCCACCAGGGATGGGCTCACTTGCACCCTTAGAGTCACTGGGGCATTTCCCCAGGGTAGAGCTATGGGATCAAGGGAGACAAAGATCTACCTTCTAGAACCTGGGAGAAAACAGCCAGAAACAGAAACAGCACAGTTCCATACTTACACAACACCTGTCTGCTCCCCAGCAATGCTTCTCCCTTCCTGCACAAGGACTGTCTCTTCTCTCCTGAGACCTCTCTGTCTAGGAGACATTTATAGTTACACAGTATCTAGCACTGGACAGGGCATACAACACAATAAATACTAATGGGAGGGAAAGCACCCAAGACAGACTGCAGAGGCCCCTCTGCCCTCACCCCAGACTTCAGGAGGAATGATGACAGGAATTTCTCCTTGCAGGCTTGGAGATTTTGCTGGCACCTGAGTACTTAGGCTAAAGGACAGAAGACCCAGGTGACAGTGAGTTGGACAAAGAAATTTTATTCTTTCATAGAGATTTGGAGGAAGGTTAGAGTTCACCTACGATTCAGTAACATTAGGGGTCTGATTCTTATGATCTCTGCACACTAATTTTCCATCTCTTGGGCCTAGGGTGGCTGCCATAGCCCCATGTATCATAAGGAAGGGATGGGAAGGGACATTTTCCCCATCCCCTAAGTGGCTCTCAGTTTTAAGTGGAGGGCATAGAAAGCCCCCAACAAGCTTCTTTCTGTGCCACATTAATCAGAACTGGGTCCCATTTCACTTTTCCCTGAAGGACAAGCTTAGAAAAAAGCAGCTGAAACAGGGCTGGCCCTGAGGTGACAGTGCTGCTGTGTCAAGCCTGGGCCTCTGCTGGCAATGAGTCTCTTGCTGCCCAGCAAGTCACAAGCTGTTTGACCATAGACCTCCAGCTCTGTATCTATTCTCTCATTCTAGAGGGTCGGGAACAACAGTCACCATGAGGTTTAAGAGAAACACAGATACTCTGAGGTTGGGCCACGTGACCCTGGAAGGTTAGCTATTCTTCAAAAGCCACTGGAATCAGCAAATGCCATCAGCATTTCCCCCTAGCAATTCTGATAGACCTTTGGTCTTGAGTCTTAGAAATAAGGGGTGGTAGCACTGACTGCTGAGGAGCTCTGTCCCTCGCTTGTTGTTTAGCTTGAACTGTGCTGGATGTGTCAATTTAATAGCCTCCCAGCTATAAACAACAGACTAGGGCAGTGCTTCAGTCCGGAAAACAAAAGAGCTCACCTGCAACTAATAGAATATTAATTACTTCAAGAGAAGCTGGGATAGGAGGGAGCAAAAGGGGCAAGAGAATGAAGGCATGGGGAAGGCTGTGTGTGTGTGAGTGTGTGTATGAGTGTGTGTGTGTGTGTGTGTGAGTGTGTGTATGAGTGAGTGTGTGTATGAGTGTGTGTGTGTGTGTGTGTGTGTGTGTGTACATGTTAATCAAGTTGTTCAGACAGTGTTGAGGATGCATGACTTTAAGGGTAAAGACAAGTCAGGATAAAGGGAAGTTACAAAACCACCGAACACTATCCCCTGACTGCTCTGAGGCTCTCAGGGAATGGACACTCAGGCACCTGGATTCTTGGGAGTACTGGGGCTTCTGCGCAGGGGCCATTGATTACAGGCACATCAAACCTCTTTGCTGGGGCAGTGAACATGTCTCTGAGGGACTCCAGACCACAGGCCCTCTGGGTTCAGGTCCCATTTCCACCCATGACTCTTTCATCTCCAACAGCCGTGAGTGTGCTAAATGTCTTGATAGAGGAGGTCATATTTGGGAATATTCTTGGGATCAATAGGACTCTGGACAATAAGTTTTCCCCTCATTGCTCCCCGGTAGATGACTTCAATCAAATCCATGAAGTCTTGTTTGGTTTTGAAGCTTCCTACAAATTTAGTGTGATCTGGAGACCTGCAGTAGAGAGAGAAGTAACCATGGTCAAAGCTTTCCAGTGTGTGAAGCCTGTGTGGTCAGCAGCAAGCAGTAGCCTTTTTCTCCCTTCTTGTCTGGAGGCTCTCCTCCTGTGGCCTGACCACTGCCTTTTCCCAGGTAGAGTATACAGGACTATATCCAGGGCTGAGATCAAAGTTCAGGTGTGGGGAGACTCTGTCTCTTCATCACTTCCCACATCATTACCCTGTAGAGGTAGAGGTCTCTGAGTACTAGAGTGGATAGGGTTGTCTCTTTAAAAGCCCACTAGTTCATCACAGTTTCTCAAGTTCTCCCCACTGACACTTCTGAGTTGTGGGTATTAATATAATATAACCTACAAATTATTTTAAACATTAGGTATATTGCTTGTAGAAACTTTTTTTTGTCATTTTTTTTTATTTGAATTAGAAACAAGATTGTTTTACCTGTCAATCCCAGTTCCCACTCCTTCCCTGCTTGTAGAAACTTTTAAAAAAGAAACAAAGTCAGCTATGAGGCCAGAAGCCATCTTTTGATGTATATCCTTTCAGGTCGGTGTGGGGGTGTGTTTCCTGTTTATTTTGTTAAGATAAAAATCATGTCACAAACAAGTTAATGATGTGGTTTTGCAAGTAATATTTGCCCCATATGTAAAATATGCATCTACAATGTACTATTAAACTCCTGGAAATGTAATTATTGGATTAAAAGACGAAGCACTTAAAAGGTGTTTGATGCTGTGTCCTGGATTCCAAGTAAGAAGGTTGTACTAAACTAATATAGTAACTGAATCCTAGGATAAGCAACTCCAAGCTCACCTCTACCAGGTAATGAGAAAGCAGACACACCTCTTCAGAGTAAGGGATGACCACAATCTTGGATATAGCCAATAGTACTCAAACAGGGGTGTGAACAGGATAGGTGGAGGGCATTACAGAAGATTCCATGTGACTTATTTTGACAAACCTTGAAGAATGACTTCAAAATTCTCTGAGTGGCAGAAAACACTTGCAAGAGAGAAGCGTGTCTCCCTGGCATGAATGCTTCTTTTGCAAATGCCAACTACCAGCTCCCAAAGCTTAGAAACCAGGGATTTTCTTCCAGCAGAGTTTTTTTTTTTTTTTTTGGTAAAATTATTCTATACTCAGCTAATATGGCTCTTCTATATTTTCTATAACTAAGGATGGTTAGTCAGTACTTCAAAGCTATACTGCTTTTTCATATTTAAGCAAGAAATCACAATTTTCCAATCACACCTAAAACACTCTCACTTTGCACTAAAGTTTCCCATAAAGAGACAACACTCACTCACTTGGCCAGACTCAGGGAGCCAATAGAAAAGTAAGTGAGCTTCTGAACCTGCCCAGATAAAACCAACTTCCCAGACTGGAGAGTTAGCTTACCCATAATCCACTTTCATGTGCTGTCCATTGAAGAAAAATACAGTAGATGGAATATAACTGATGTCAAAGTACTGCGTATAAACTGGAGTGTGGTCCACATCTACCAGGTAGATAGCAGCCATTTTACTTAAGTCAGCAGAGGTCTTTGAGAGCTGTGAATGACAAGATGGATGGAGGTTACACTATACTATTCCAGGTGCATAATGCCTCTTTTGTGAAATGTACTAGAATATTGTATGTGACACTTACTATAACATATTTTGGGGGAAGAAAAATTTTGTTCAAGAAATACTTGAAGCAAGAATCAAGCCCATTTGAATTCCTCATAAGACACCATCCTGGATCTTGCTATGTAGACTAGGCTGGCCCTGAGTTCACAGAGGTCCATCTGCCTCTGCCTCCGAAGTACTGGCATTAAAGTATACACTGCTGTGCCCAGATAAACATACTATTGCTGTTCAGAGGGTGGATCCTTGTTGACAGGGTCAGGAGAAGGCAGTGTGGTGGTTTGAATGAGAATGGCCCTGATGGGCTCATATATTTGGATACTTGTATCCCCAGTTGGTAGCAAGTGTTTGAGAAGGATTAGGTGATGTGGCCTTGTTGGAGGAGGTTTGTCACTGTGGACAGGCTTTGAGTTTTCAAAAGCCCATACCGTTCCCAGTTAGCTTTCTTGTCTTTTGCTTGTGTCAAGATGTGAGCCCTCAGCTACTTTTCCAGCCCATATCTGCCTGCCTGCTGCCAAGCTCCCTGCCATGATGGTCATGGATCCAACCCTCTAAAACTATGAGCCCCAAATAAACTCTTTCTTATATGACTTGTCTTGGTTATGGTGTTTTATCACAGCAATAGAGAAGTAACTAAGACACACCAGGGAAGAGCCCTTACTTGCTGAGCCGTCATCCACATGGGCTCATGCTTGATTACTTTCCAGAAAGGAATCAATACTCACGTAGGGTGAGCTGAGCATGAGGTCTAGTTTCAATGCTCGGAACTTCAAAACAAAACTACAGATCCTGACACACCCACCTGCAACAACTCAGGAACATTCACATAGAGCTGACTCTCCTCAGGCTCTGTCCTCTTAGGAATAAAAGTTAGAGAAGTGCCTGATGCCACCTCCCACAGCTAACTATCTTCAGTGCTTTATACCTGCTAACCCACTTAACAGTTAGTGTATGAGCTGTGCCCATTTTACAGATGACAAAGCTGAGGCAAAAGAGTTAGTTCCAGGACACATAGCTCCTAAGCAGCAGGGGTGGGATTTGAACTTTGGAGGCTTAGTTTCAGAATCAATTAATCTGTATATATCTATATATCTAATTGTTTTGTTGGCATTGGGAGTTGAATTCAGGGCCTTATACATAAGTGGCAGCTGTCCTACCACTGAGCTACACTTCCAGCCTAGAATCTATACTCTCTCTCATAGCTATTTCTGATCATCTTCTTCCAGGTTATGATATCATTCTTACTTATTGACTGGTGTGTGTGTGTGTGTGTGTGTGTGTGTGTGTGTGTGTGTGTGTGTGTATGCAAATATGCTTGCTGCATGTGTGAGTATGGGTATACATGGAGGTCAGAGGACAACTTTCAGGATACAGTTTTCTTCTTCACTGTGGGTTGCGGAGACTGAACTCAGGTTGGCAGTCTTGTGCAGCAAGCACTTTCCCTGCTGAGTCACCTCACCAGCTCTGTACATTCACTTTAATGACACAATGCTATTCTGACATTTGGTCCCCAGTTGATGGGTGGGAAAAGGTGCCAGTCCTTGGTTCAATCTCCACGGTAAATAAGAACAAGAAAAAAAAATACAGTAACTCTGTCTCCTAATTTCCCTTGTTACTAATTTGAGTGTGAAGACATACTGTGAAACTTGATCTCTCCACCAGGCACATTCAAGGAGCAGCAAACAAGTAGAGACTTGGCCACCAGGGAAACAGTTCAGAGCCCGCTTTGCATCTTCTGCACCCTGGAGGGTGACTGTTGTTGTGACTGATGAAAGCGCAATGTTCAGACACCTAGGGCTGGCATTTCTTGCTCTTCCACTGCCTGAATTTTCAATTAAAGCTGCTCATTCAAAAATTCACTTACCTGCTGGAGAGATGGCTCAGTGGTTAAGAGTGCTGGATGCTTTCCCAGAGGTCCTGAGTTCAATTCCCAGCAACCACATGATGGCTCACAACCATCTGTAATGAGTCCTGGTGCCCTCTTCTAGTCTGCAGGCATACATGCAGGCAGAACACTGTATACATAATAAATAAATAAATAAATCTTTTTTTTTTTTTTTTTTTTTTTCTTTGTTTTTCGAGACAGGGTTTTTCTGTGTGCCTTTGGAGCCTATCCTGGCACTCGCTCTGGAGACCAAGCTAGCCTCAAACTCACAGAGATCTGCCTGCCTCTGCATCCCGAGTGGCTAGGATTAAAGGTGTGCGCCACCAACGCCCAGCAATAAATAAATCTTAAAAAAATTCACTTATGGCCTAATTCACTTGTGGACAGGCAATGGTGGCACACGCCTTTAATCCCAGCACTCGAGAGGCAGAGACAGGCCAGCCTGGTCTACAGAACGAGTTCCAGGACAGCCAAAGCTACATAGAGAAACCCTGTCTTGAAAAACAAAACATAACAAAAACAAACAAACAAAAAAAAAATTCACTCACTATATCATCCAGCTGTAGACAGACAGGGTCCTCATCCCTCCCAAACCTGAGAACCAATACTTTCTCTGCAGTACTTTTGATCGCCTGGTCCACTTCTTTTTTGCTAGTCAGTTTCGGCAAGAGGAAACTCATCTTGAAGAAAATTTCAGTGTTAGTGTGCACGACCAGTTCTACAATGTTTACAGGCTGTTTAGATGAAGTTCATGAGTCCTAATGTAAAGAACAAAACAACACCATTTAGCATCAGCCATGTAACAGGCAATTTAAAAACAAACCTTTCAGGAAAAGTATCTGTGAACAGGCCCCACCCGTGGCTTGCCATTCTTGGGCCCAGCTTCCAGAACTTCATGTGCCATCCTGAATCATCCACCAGGTAACTGCTTTCAGTAATTTCTCTTAGAAATACATGAAAAATTATGTACCATACCAGAAGAACACACACATGCTTCTGTATTTCCACCCCCCTTTTACACAAGAGATAGAATGTATTATAAGTCCAGCAAGTAAGAGATGACATCCTCAAATGTGGGGACTGGATATTTAGTTAGAACAGAACAGGAAGACAAGGCAAAGCCTGTAACTTCAAAGCGCTGATCCCACTCAATAGTCTGTGGAGCTGTGCACAACTGAGTAGGGAGGTAGCTGCACAAAGACAGGTTGGCCTGCCACTAAAGGATACTGCTATCCCCACCCTCAATATCACTGCCTGACTCCAAATGGAACCAGAATTTATGGGAAGTGCTGAGGCAGACAAACTTGCTGATCTCAGCATTCTAGGAGGACGAGCAGTTGGGAATAGCAGAGGCTCAGTACATAGCTCACCCATCTCTCTGCACTTTGCATTGTTTTAAATCTAACATTTAATGAGATTCCCATAGCCCTACACAGAAAACGTCCAGATTTTTATCACGGTAGCATACCATTTCATATGTGGACCACACTTTAGTGGTCCTTCATTGATGGACGTTTGTATATTCTCGTGCCCTGGCTTAAGGCGTCTTCCTAGGTGCACTTTATCACATGGCAAACAGATCAGTTATGAGTGTGTGGAGCCAGGCGCTGTGGCACACACCTTTGATCCCAATACTTGGAAGGCAGAGGCAGGCAGATCTCTGTGAGTTTGAGACCAGCCTGGTCTATACAGTAGGCTCCAGGACAGCCTGGGCTACATAGAAAAACTCTTTCTTGAAAAACAACAACAACGAAAGTGTGTGGAAATCACAATTAAATAAATATTCCAAGATATCATCAAAGGACATACTTGAACATGGACAAGTGATTATTATTTCCACTAAGGGTCTCGCTTAGTAGCTCAGGCTGGCTTTGAGTTTGTGGCAATCTTCCTGTCTCTGCCTCACAATTGCTGGGATTACAGGAGCGTGCCACCAAGCCAGGTAGATAACTTATTTACTCAGGGCGGATATGTCTACTTTCCAAAACGTTCCGCACCTGTGTTTTACAAGATGCGGGCGGTTGGGTTACTCCTGGTCCACAGGTGCCAGGGAGGACACAAACCACCTGTCAGCAGTCCGGATTCCTTCACCGATAGCCAAGGCACAACTGTCTCCTTCATCGGTCCCAACCCGGGAAAGGACCTTAACCCCAACTAACCTGGGCTGTTGCTTAGAAACCCTTCTTTGGCCTGCAAACCCGAACAAACGGAAGTGAAAATGAAACACGGACGCAGAAAATGAACGTACCATCGCGCGTCCCAGTCAATAGCCCAATAAGCAGACGGCGTTATTATAGTTCTCGCCCATTTGGCACTGCCCCAACAGGAAGTTATGTCATTTCCGCCCTTAGTAAATATGGCTGACCTCGGTCTGTCTTGCCTCTCACGCCCACAGGCCAGAGGCGGGGTATCAGCTATCACTCTAAGCACGATTGGTCGCAAGGAAACCTGGGGCCCAGAGGAAGACACCGTGGCTTTGAAGGCGTGTTCACGTTGTTTCTCTCTGGCGTCCAGGAACCTTGTATTTCTGGGCTACTCTCGATGGTATTTTTGGACGGATAGAGGACCCCGCGCAGGGCATTATGGGACAATGATGGCCGCTTTCAAACAGTGGAATTTACCTTTTTGAGACCCTCAGACCGAGCAGTGTTCGCGCTGGCGTCCCCAGATCAGTGGCAGAAGGTCCCGAGAGTCGTGCTTGGTGAAGTGAGTATCTCTTCCTCTTTCCAGATCCGTCCTTCGGCCGCCATGGTGGCTCCAGGCGGCCGGGGTCGGTTCGCGGCTTAGGTTTTGGGCCCTGGTTTCAGAGTTCCTCTTGTCCTTGTTACCCAACTTTCTCTACTCACTTGAGCGGTCTTGTGTCTATTCAGCCTGCTCCGGACTTTGTCCCCGTTATGGTCACATCCTTGTGTTTGGGAACGGCCCCCTGAGATCGAGGCATCCGCCCTGCGCCCTGGTTTATTTAGGACGGTGCCCTAACCTGTTACCTAAGAGAGTCTGGATAGGGCTCCTGCTGCCTTCCTCCTTTCTCACCGAAGTGTCTCCATTAAGTCTGGTGGTTAATCTATAGGTAGAATATTAACCGCAAAGGGCAGGGAGTTTTTGTTTTTTGTTTTTAAAATCGGTATTGTTGAGAACAATTGACTCAAGGACACATGCAGTTGCTGCCCAAGAAGTCCTTTGTGGCTTCTGTGTCACTGATCTTTCTCCATAATCTGGCCCTGGAATTCCTTGTTTGCTATTTTGAGCGGACAATTAAATCCTTCCTTGACCTGTGTTGTGGATAAACTTCTTATTGTCCAGAGAAATGTTTGAGTTCTTGTTCTCTTTTAATAGGATATATTTATTCATTTGCTTTAAAATTAGACTTTCATTTTGCCATTGCTGGGTTATAGCAGTCAACAAGACAGCCTCTCGCTTGTATGCAAATGACATTTTAGGACATAAGTCATCATTCAGGTAACTGCTGAGAGTCTGTGTACCTCAGTCTCCCCGTCTGGATTTCCTCATGTATATTTACATGTAACTTTCTTTTTCTGCTCCACCTGATGGAATTTCCAAATGAAGCTCTTGTTTGTTCATCTACATCATGTTTGCAGTACTCCTTGGTAGAGCTGTGCATGCCGATTAGAATATGGCAAAAGAAGTGTAGATTCCAGAGGTACAGTTCTTATGCTTTAACGACTTACTGGAATGAGAATAATTGTCTGTGTGTCCAACATAAGTTCATGCTTCTAAGTAGATGGTATCAGTTAAAGACGAGTGTGTTATCAACCAGGAGATCTTGCAGTCTCTTAAACACTTTCCTGAAATACCACTTCCTTAACCTAGCATTTCTCATATGCAAGTTTGGTAAATACAGTTTCTTATTCAAGAGATTTTTGCCAGCTATGGGCAGCTTTTTTCCCCCCTTTTTGCACAAAACACTACTGATCACAACAAAAGTCACCAAGTGTGTAGAATATGGATGGTAAAATTATGTCCTTACACTTACACTTTGTGGAACCTGTGGCTTCAAGGGGGAGGGGATAGGTGGGTAGAAGAATGTATATAAAATATTAGAAATATTAGTAAGGAAACTAGTCAGTATACAGGGGCATAATAGCAAATGTGTAATAATTACACTGACAAAACATCTATGGTTCATGTACAGTTGTTAGATTCTCACAGTGGTTCTGTGCAGTGTATAGAGAAGTAATAGCTAACCAAGCCTGCTGCTTACTCTCACAGAAGCAGAAAATGCCAAGAGCCTGGGTATCTTTTTTATTTTTATTTTTTAATGTCTGTTACTAAAGAAGAGGGTGTGCTGCTGCAGCTGACATGAAAAAGGCCAGCGTGTTTGGTTGATGTTTGGAGGCAGTAAGCCAATGGGGATCTTAAAGGTGATTATTGTGATTCTTAAGTAGAGAAAGTAGAAGGGTGAAATTACAGGAGAATAAATTAAATAATGGGTAGGGAAAATCTATGAGTGAGGGCCATGGGCATGAATGAATGAATATGTCACTAAATAGTCTAGCAGTTATGAAACTCACTATGTATCTCAGGCTAGCTTCAAATTTGCCATCCTCTGGAGCCTCCTCAGCTTCTCACCTGCTAAGATTACAAGTGGGTGTCACCGTGCGTAGGACCAGAAACTGGATTTTAATTGAGGTTTCTGACTTACATCTAGTTCCCCTTCTAGTCCCTTTTTGTATTCCAGTAAGAAGTCCTTACTGAAGTTTATTCTTGTCTGGATGATACCCTCTTGATCCTACCACTTGCTCTGTGTATATGTGTCTCTGTGTCTTTCATATATGTTGAGGTGGGAACTGGGAAACTTATTGAGATCGTCACTGATTTGGTGGGAAAGTCTTCGGAAGTAGCAAAGGGGGCTAGAGAGATGGCTCAGTTGGTGAAGTGCCTTCTCACAAGCATGAGGATCCGAGTACAAGGAAAGCTATGAGTAGAGGCACTTGTGTGCTGAAGAGGCAGACACAGGCAGATCCCAGGAGCTTGCTTGGCTGGATTTACTCCCAGTCCAGTGAGAGACCCTGTCTCAAAAAGTAAGGGAGCAACTGAGAAAACACTTGACATTGACCTCTGGCCTCATGTGCACACAGTGCCTGTGTACCTGCATGAACACACACACACACACACACACACACACACACACACACACACACACACACCCTCTGATAGCAGAAGATGCTTTGGGCTCAGTGTAGGGATGTAGGGGTAGCCACTTAAATTTACTAGTTATTCTGGGGTGCGGTAGAACTGAGTTTTCTTATGTTCAATTCTAATGATTCCTGTTCCTTCCAGAGAAATAAGAGCCTGTGATGGAGGACACTGGTGAGGATGCCTCCATCCATCGACTGGAAGGCACCGATCTGAACTCTCAGGTTGGTGGTCTTATTTGCAAGACCAAAAGTGCAACCAGTGAGCAGCATGTCTTCAAAGCCCCTGCTCCTCGCCCTTCATTGCTTGGACTGGACTTACTGGCTTCTCTGAAACGGAGGGAGCGAGAAGAGAAAGATGATGGAGAGGACAGGAAAAAGTCCAGAATCTCTTCTTACAAAGACTGGGAGGAGAGTAAGGATGACCAGAAAGATGCCGAGGAGGAGGGTGATGAGCAGGCCGGCCGGAGTGGCCGCAAAGACAGGTAAGGAAAGAGGGTAAACATTGGTGTCAGAAAATAGTAGCCCAGGTTTATCTCAGTTCCTGCTGGACACCTAAGAGCTTTAGGATTTTATTGTTTTTCTATAATACTGGTGGCGGATAGGAATTGGTAGAGATTTGTGGGAAAAATTCAAAGGCATCTAAGAAGTGGATGATGGAGTTTAAATGCCTGGGTTCTTGCCATGTGCAGGCCTTCAGCACTGGGGAGATGCATTGGAGAGGAATATTGCTTGTTGGCATACCCAGAGATAGAGGGAAATGTTTTCTTCCATGGAAGGCCCTGTCCCAGCTGGTCTCCCTGTTTCAGGCATTACCGATCTGCTCGGGTAGAGACTCCATCCCACCCTGGGGGAGTGAGTGAGGAGTTTTGGGAACGCAGTCGGCAGAGAGAGCGGGATCGGAGGGAGCATGGTGTCTATGCCTCATCCAAAGAAGAAAAGGATCGGAAGAAAGAGAAATCCCGGGATCGAGACTATGACCGCAAGAGAGACAGAGGTAAACTGCCTGTCACCAGTTCTGTTGCCCTTCATCATTTGAACCAGCAAGCCATTCTTTCCCTGTTGCAAGAACTTTTACAATAATGCTCATTAATTGCTTGTAGTACAACTGCTTTGCTTGAGTATGTGGTTCTTGTTTTATTGTGAAAACTGAGGATAAAGGAAATGATGGGTAATCTATTTAAGAAAACAGTTTAGAGTAGCATGGGTGATGGAGAAAGGACAGTGTTGTGGAACAAAATGAGACAGTCCAGTACCAGCCTTGATCATTATGTCTGTAGCTGAGGTTGGCTACACCACTAAATTCTTCATGATAGACATGTAACTGTTCACTTATGATTCTTGTTGGAAAGCAGCTGTTGTGTGAGTTTGACCCTTTCTATCCATTGAGAGGATGTGAGTGTGTGAGTTTTAGCCCATGGATGATGGGGTGTACCTGTGTGAGTGGGGAGGTGTGTGCTTTCTGTCCATGCGTGTGCATATGTTTTAGCATGGAGTACATATCTTTAAGCCCCATGTGTGACTCTTATAGATGAGCGGGACAGAAGTAGGCACAGCAGCAGATCAGATCGAGACGGAGGCTCAGAGCGCAGCAGCAGAAGAAATGAGCCAGAGAGTCCTCGACATCGGCCAAAAGGTATTCTGAGCTCTGTGGTGGCAGAATGAGCAGTAGTCAGCTGTGTTGTCAGGCAGTGAGTTGGAAGTCCTGATTATAGTGTGACCCTCTGGAGTTAGGGGGCCTGAGCACGGTGGGTGTGGTCCTGTCCCTTGCTTGGGTGGATGTACTTCCCAAGGGGATAGGTTGTTTGCTGCAAAACAGGTGTTTCAGATGTCAGGAAACTAGAGATGTGGTGGATCAAGAAGGATTTATTGGAAAAGAACTATTTGTTTTAAGATGAAGAGGTTTGCAGAGAGAAATTGATTCAAGCAGTGAAAGCTGAACTGTTAAATTCAGTCTTTTTAAAAATTCTCATCACACACACACAAAAAGAAAAATT